TCTTACTTTTGTGACAATCTTCTAAACACTAGGCTTTGTTTATTGCATGTGTTTAAAGAAGGGATCAAAAATAATCATTGAATACTTTTTTGTGCTGGTCTTGTGTTGCCTATTAACTCTGGCTTTTCTCTCTTTTTCTCCATTTCTCACCTTCATTTCATTGTATGACCCTGCATTTCACCCTTTTGTTTCTGTTCACATTTAATGCCACATTCTTTTCTTTTTTATTGTAATACCCACTTTTTTGCCCATCAATCCCCTAGACACTTCTGAGGTTGATTTATTTGTTGTTAATGCTCCATACACTCCAGTGCCAGATCCCTCCCCCATGATGCCTCCAGTGGGAGTTCAGGCCTCTATCCTGAGCCATGATACCATTCGACTTACCTGGGCAGACAACTCTCTGCCAAAGAACCAGAAGGTCTCCGATGCCCGTTACTATACAGTCCGTTGGAAAACCAACATTCCGGCAAACACAAAGTACAAGGTGAGCATCTGAATCACATGTGTGAAATTCCATAAAAATAGGTAAATCCAATTAGGTGGAAAGATAAGCAGAAAAAAATAGTCCAGGAAATTAGTCCATCAGAGTTCATGAAAAACAGATACAGAAACTTCCAAGGTAAAACTCCCAAACTTAAATCATGAAATCAAACAAGGCACTTAACACACAAATCTATCTAAGGCAAGGCTTCCAAGGACCAGGAAAGATGTCTTGACCCAATTCCAATGTTGCTTCGTCTGACTATAGATTCTGTACTTGCCACTTTTATTCCCTAATCTACTCTATGTCCCAAGCGGCCAGGAACGGATTTTGTTTCAGCCTTGACTCTGTTATGAATCTCTCTCAGTCTGGCAGAATGCCTGAGAGATTGGTTTGTTTGCCTGTACTGACTGAAAATATTCATTCTGTCTACTGACTCATTAATTTCTTCAGCTGGGACAGGTCCCCAAACCCTTCAAGAACATTCCCATCAGAAAAGACACCTTGAACAGGGATCCCATTGTCATTATCTGCATCTAGAGCAACCTCATCATTAGACACATCATTAGATACATGAACCTCAGAAACATCATTGTCATTCCCAGCATCCAGAGTACCCTGATCATTACACATAATCACAGGCTGAACTCCAACAAGAATACTATGTTAAAAAAGTACAGTTGGCCCTCTGTATCCACAGATTCTCTGTCTATTCATTCAACGGCCCTTTGAAGGCAACCATAAGGCTTATCTGGCCCATGTTGAAAATGAGTTTGCCATCCCTGATATAAAGAACCCTAGTGTTACAAGTGGTCCAATGGGCCATAGAGTCCAACTCTGTGAGCTGTGCAGGATCTCCAGCTATACTACCATCACCCTCTTTCTAAAGACACCTAGTGTTTGGCACCTCTGATCGAAATGAAGGGCTGCCGGCTGAAGCTTTTTGCCAAACCACATTGAAAGCCAGTGAATACCTTTGATCATTTATTTCTGTTAGTGCATTGCCGCAGTATGGTATTAGAAAGTATGTTTTCATTGGCTTAACAGTAGGAGATTCTGAGCCCCTCCAGGTGCTTTGGATCTCATCTACCATCAGCCCCAGGAAGCCTGGCCAGCAATCAGGAATGCTGGGAAGCCTAATCCTAAATGTCTGGAGGGCTGGAGTTTGGAAAGAGCTGTTTTATACTATTGCCAGTTTATCCAGACAGTCTCCGTTCATGTCCCTTTGATTTCTTTTAGATTGCAAATACCACCACCTTAAGCTTCTTAGTGACTGGCTTGAAACCAAATACCTTGTATGAATTTTCTGTGATGGTGACTAAGGGCCGAAGATCAAGTACTTGGAGTATGACAGCACATGGAACTACCTTTGAACTAGGTATTGCTATCAGACTATTTTCTTTTTACAATATGACACTTTTTATAGGATGTTGTATCTTTGCCAGCAAATTATCCGAACACCGGGGTGATGGTAATAATCTTGTGGCATTTTTCTGAGCGTGAGAGTATTCCTGCCGTCTTAACAAAAGGACTTCTATATGCCAATAAGCAGATTTGTTACAGAATAGATTTTTTTAAAAGCATAATATTTCTTAAACACAAATTATATCTTAATAATAACTTGTGAGGAATAACTTGATGGTTAATTATTAATTGAGAAGGAGGAAACCCTTTAATTATTGAATAAGTAAGATCAGACAAGCTCTGATCTGGTCCTTGAAGCAATCATAAATACAAACTCCTTTGATTTTAATATGATTTTCTGAAGTAGAAGAAACTGGGCAGTTCGAGAAATGTTTCAAACACATATTTACGCATGTGCTCTTTTGAATCCATGACCTTTGCCCCATATTTTTCAGTTGTCGAGAAGCTTGATTTTTAATGCTAATTAGAAACTCTTGTTTTTTTATAGTAGTGAATAAATATAAATGTTTAGAGAAATGTTTAAAGTATGTAGATGAAAGACATTCCAACCTCTATAGAGAGTATTCTTGTGAAGCTGTTGTCTATTTTTTGTTGCTAGTTCCACAAATGAGTGAATGATTTAAAATCATACAAAATTAATTGTTGGCTCTGCCTTTTGGTTCTATTGTGTGAAATGAAATTGAAGTTATCATTCCTTGCTCTTTTTTTGTACCATTATGGATTTCTTTGGCTAAATAAGGAACACTTTATAGCTCAGTTCAGAAGCTGTATATGCTTGGCTCTGTGGAAGATAGTTAACATACCTGCCATTAGAAAGTTAGCATTGAACGAAACATGCAGAATAATCACAGGATGTCCTAAACCTACAGCTGTTGATAATCTCTACAAGCTAGCTGGCATTGCCCCCTCTGATGTGTGATGGGAAGTTGCTGCTAAATGTGAGAGAAATAAGGTTGAACACTGTGAAAGCTATCCACTACATGGCTATCAGGCCTCCTCCCAGTAGACTGAAATCAAGGAAAAGCTTTATGAGAACTACCACTCCTCTTGGTGTCCCCCAGCAACAGCAAGGGTATCCCTCTGGGCAGCTAAACCAGGAAATCCCAAATGAATAGCCCCCCATGAGGGTCTTCCTCCAGGGGCAAACCAAGAATGGGCAACTTGGAAGTCCCTGAACAGACTCAGAAGTGGAGTGGGCAGATCAAAAGACAAGCTGGCAAAATGGCACTACCTAAAAGAATCCCACCTTATGTGACTGTGGAGCAGAACAGACAACTCCGCATCTGTATGCTTGTCCACTATGCCCTGCCTCATGTACAGAGGAAGAATTGTTGGAGGCTACAGACAATGCTGTTGCTGTTGCCCGTTTTTGGTCAAAAGATATTTAGCCGACTGCGCTCCTTCTATTTTTATCAGTTTTATACTAATTTATGCAATGCTTTTATATGAAATAAATAAATAAATAAATAAATAGAAAATTAGTCCTGAAATCCTTATTATTGAGGTTAGATAAAGATAAAGGTTTCCCCTGACATTAAATCTAGTTGTGTACAAGAGAAACAGACTTGCTTTTCCCAGCACCTTAGAGATAAGGAGTAGAAAAGCAGGTGTGTGAGGAATGATGCCATGGGAGGGACTCAGGCCTTTTAAGTGGGTTTCTGCTGGTACAGTCCTTGTGAGAACAACATTGTATTCAGGTGAACAGCTCTCAGTTCCTGGTCCTACGTTTGATGATTCGTTTATTCAAGTTTTTAAGTTGTTCCTGGTTGATGTGTGGCATAGGTTTCCTGCCTTGGATTCATGCTATCATGTTTATGGATATATCTGGGGATTGACTCTTGAGACTATATTTGAAAGAATTTTAGAGTCCTGGCAATCTTGGAAATAACTTTTTGAAATTTGGGTCTCCTTTTTAGGTTTGTTCATTTTATATATAAGATAAAAGTTTCCCCTGTCATTAGGTCTAATCATGTCTAACTCTGGGGGGTGGTGCTCATCTCCATTTCTAATGTTATCCGTAGACACCTCCAAGGTCATGTGGCCAGCTTGACTGCATGGAGCACTGTTACCTTCCCGCAGAAGCAGTACCTATTGATCTATTCACATTTGCATGTTTTCGAACGGCTAGGTTGGCAGAAACTGGGGCTAACAGCGGGAGCTCACCCCACTCCCTGGATTTGAACTACTAACCTTTCGGTCAGCAAGTTCAGCAGCTCTGCAGTTTAACCCTCTGCGCAACCAGGGAGCCCATTATTGAGGTTACTATTTCTATTATTATTGCTGGTAGTTGGTAGGCATAGTTTTGAGTATAACTATTACAGGATACACTTCAGAATACAGCTGATCTCGCTGGCTATGTGTAATGTAAATATTCTTCCTTAGTGCCAACTTCTCCTCCGAAAGATGTGACAGTGGTGAGCAAAGAAGGGAAGCCACGAACCATCATAGTTAACTGGCAGCCGCCATCCGAAGCCAACGGCAAAATTACAGGTGAAATTTCTTCTCGGTACCTCAGAATGCTTATTATGCCATTTATATTAAGTATATAGAAAGAACCGTGTGGTTAAATGCCTTGGAGGATTCTCCCGTGCTTTGTTATCTTTTGTTTCAAGAGCGAAATGTGTTCCCTTATTGGCATTTCCCCTTTGAAATAATTGAAGCTTGAACTGGCAGGTGGCTTGGGCCTTTACTTAACGTAGCCATTACATGGTAAGTAGAAGCATCAAATATTTGTGGGATCTTTTGATGTTTTAAATCCTTAGAATCGCATTTAGACTACAAGCCTCTCTGAATTTTAAGTAGTATTCAGGTAATACCCTTCTATTGACACAGAGTTTATAGCAAACAGAAGTCAGCTTTGTAAAGAACAGAGGGAAGGCTTTCCAGACTCTATGCTTTTCTGGCTTCGTGTTCCAGTGAGGATCGGAATGTGTGTCCCATACCATAAAGCAGCAGTAAGGAACTGCAGAAAATCTGAGGGGCCAGACTACCCATTTTTCCTCCCATTTCAAGAGAAACTGAAGTAACTGGTGAACACTTTTGGAAGAGGAATTTTTTTTTTGCTTCTGCATTTGGAAAGGGACACTTTAAATGCTGTTGCAGACCAAATATTTATTTATTTATAGCATATTTATTTATTTATTTATTGTATTTAGTGTATATATTGATCCCTCCTTCCAGCCCCAATTGCTGCTCTAGGCCAGAATGAAAGGGGGGGGGGCAGGGGACAGTTCCACCTTGTCTCTTGTGCTATGCTAGTAATATAATGTAATGTAATATAACATAATATATTGTATATACATATAATATTTATAATATTATAATGTAATAGAATATAATACTAATAATAGTAACATGATATTATAATTATATATATTTATATTACATATAATATTACTAATACAATATAATTGTATAGTACAATATAGTAATATATAATACTGATTGTGCTATGCTAATAATATAATACATTGTATGTATGTCTCTCTCTCTCTCTCTCTCTCTCTCTCTCTATATATATATATATATATATATATATATATCTTGTTGGAGTTATATCTGAGTCCCTTTCGGGGTGAGAAGGGTGGCATATAAATGTCATAAATAAATTAATATACTGCTTTTATCACCCTTGGAGGGTCTCAATGGCAAAATTCAATGCCTCACATATATAAAAAACATCACATATCAAATCAACAGCATATGACTGTAAATTAAAACCATTAAAACTATAAAACAACAATCACAGACACAACATAAAACATTAGACCTTGCATCAATCCCAAGGTTTTCTTTACTTCCATATTTTCATATTTCTGTCATTCACTGAATGCCTGCTTGAATAGTCAGGTCTTAAGTTGTTTCCTAAAAGCTAGAAGGGAGTGGGCCAATCTGATCTCCCTGGGGAGGGAGTTCCACAGCCAAGGGGCCACCACTGAGAAGGCCCTGCCCTCATCCCCACCAATAACACCTGTGAAGGTTGTGGGACCAAGAGCAGTGCCTCCTTGGTAGATCTTCATTGCATCTGTCAGTAGGAATTTAGGTACCGCTTATGCTGGGACTGAAAATTGCATCTGTCAAGTAGGAAATTTAGGTACTGCTTATGCGGGGAGGCTAATTTAACTAATTTACGACATAAAATTTCCAGCAGCTTGCTAAAGAATGAGGAAGTACTCAATCAGTGTCACAAGTGGATGGTGAAGCAACAGTTCCCCCGGTGGCCGGAATTCAAAGCATACCCTCATGAAGCTGGAAAGTTAAATAGCCTCTGTGTTTCTGTCTATATATGTTGTGTGACTATGGCATTGAATGTTTGCCATGTATATGTGCATTGTGATCCATCCTGAGTCCCCTGTGGGGTGAGAAAGGCGGAATATAAATACTGTAAATAAAAAAAAACTAAACTGTCCATTAAAACCAAAAAATACAGTTAAAATAAAACATAGCAAAGCATACCCATCAGATAAAACCCCACCAGATAAAATGTAAGGTTATAAAACAGGAGCCTTAAAACTCGCTCAAACAATACACAAACAAAAAACCAATAACCGGAAGTACTAAGATGGACATGATCAGGCTATATACATTCTCATGACCGCTCTAATCAAGATCCTTGTTCCCATTCACAAAGCGGGATCTGACTAGGGTTCTGACTCTCAAATTAGTCAATCCAGTTTGTTGTTAGTGACAATGGTGGAATGACCAAACCTTCGCTAGTGTTGGTTATCACCCAAAAATTATTCCAGTTTCTATGTTCACTGGCTCCTTTGGAATGAAATGGCTCAGTAATGGAATAATATTGGCTTTGTATTTAATGGAGAACTATGTGAAAAGTCTGCCCTCTGGTGGAATCCTATTGTGTAGTAAAAGCTTCAAATTGAAATCATTCACAGTATCATCTAATTTGCTCCATTTCTGATTTTAGATGTGTTGTTAGTACAAATTATACTGAATTGATAATTACTGTGGGATTCTTCATTGTGGGAGAAGTGGAACGACAGTAAGGGTTTGTGTGGGTGTTTCAAGTACCACATACTGACTTATACATCATAATCTATATAAATAAAAATGTAATGTTTGTTTGTGGGAGTAACATAATTCAAAAACCACTGGGTGAATTGACACCAAATTTGGACACAAGACACCTATCAGGCCAATGAGTGACCATCACTCATAAAAACAATGGAAACACAGCAGAAGAGACTTAAAAAGCCAAAAAATAAAAAATACAGTACAACGCATGCGCAAAACCACACACACATATTTATTTATTTATTTGCTTTATTTCTATACCGCATTTTTCAGCCTAATTAGGCGACTCAATGCGGTTTACACAATACAGATTATCACAACAATATCCTAAGCGATTAAAACACATCATATACAGCAGACAAAATCAAACAATCATGCAAACACACACATATACGTTCTCGGTGGTGGCCCCTCGGCTCTGGAACTCTCTCCCGTTGGAGATTAGATCTGCCCCTTCCCTCCTGACTTTCAGAAAGCTGGTAAAATCTTGGCTTTGGAATATAGCATTTGCAGAATGATGATTGAGTCAATAACGGCTGACCACACTGGCGGATGGTGATGAATTTGTGATTTTACTCTGACGACCTGGCTTTTGTAATTGTATGATCTGTATTTTAATGTATTTTTGTATTAATGTATTATGATGCTATTATGTTTATTCTATGTGTATATGAATTTTCTCGCTAGATCCGCCTAGTCAAAGCCATGGTCTTCCCTGTAGTAACCTACGGATGTGAGAGCTGGACCTTAGGGAAGGCTGAGCGAAGGAAGATCGATGCTTTTGAGCTGTGGTGTTGGAGGAAAGTTCTGAGAGTGCCTTGGACTGCGAGAAGATCCAACCAGTCCATCCTCCAGGAAATAAAGCCCAACTGCTCATTGGAGGGAAGGATACTAGAGACAAAGTTGAAGTACTTCGGGCACATCATGAGGAGACAGCAAAGCCTAGAGAAGACAATTATGCTGGGGAAAGTGGAAGGCAAAAGGAAGAGGGGCCGACCAAGGGCAAGATGGATGGATGGCATCCTTGAAGTGACTGCACTGACCTTGAAGGAGCTGGGGGTGGTGACGGCCGACAGGGAGCGCTGGCGTGGGCTGGTCCATGAGGTCACGAAGAGTCGGAGACGACTGAACGAATGAACAACAAATGTTTAGCCTATGTGTGTATGAATTTTCTGCTGTTAGCTGGCCTGAGTCCCTCTTCGGAGGTCGAGAAGACCGGGTTATAAAAGCTCTAAATAAATAAAAATAAATAAACAAACACAAATATATACACACACATATAAACACATTCACACACACAAAACACATATACACAGACTGGGCCGCAGCAACACGTGGCACAGGACAGCTAGTGAATAATAATAATAATAATAATAATAATAATACTTTATATATAGCCCACCACCATATTCTCAAGGGGACTCGGGGCGGCACACACGAGGCCAAGCTCAACAGCACAATAATGCAAATGTGCAACATAGGAATTCAACAATAAAACATAAAAATAAAATAATATAAGATACAAAAAAAATATAAATAAACACATCAGACCATATAAAAGCACAATATTAGAACACAGATAATTAATCATAATGAATGCTTTAAAATATTTTAGAATACTTGGAATATTTTTTTCTTTGTAGCTCACTAGCTGTATTCTATTTTTTTTAATGCAGGATACATCATTTACTACAGCACAGACGTCAATGCCGAAATACACGACTGGGTCATTGAACCTGTCGTCGGAAACAGACTGACCCATCAGATTCAAGAGCTGACCCTCGACACGGCCTATTATTTCAAAATTCAGGCCCGCAACTCCAAGGGCATGGGTCCCATGTCGGAGGCAGTACAGTTCAGGACGCCAAAAGGTAGGTTGCTCTTGTATAAGTGAATGTGTTTCCTGTTGAGATGTTAGAGATAAGCAATTTGGGAGAAAAATGAATGTGAAGAAGATAGGGTTCTTCTTTGAAAACAGGATTCTGTTGGATTTTTATAAATACTGTGTGAGAGAGAGTTTAGTTCCACTCTCCTCTTTCCCCAGATAACATTTGTTGTATTATGTATACCAAAACAGAAAACAAAAGCAATTTTATGAGCCCCTTGGTAGACTGTGATTCTCATATAGTAAACCAGAATACTAGGTTACTAACTTGAACATGTAAATCAGTGTTTCTCAACCTTCTGAATGCGGGGACCCCTTAATACAGTTCCTCATGTTGTGGTGATCCCGAACTATAAACATTTTTCATTGTTGCTTCATAACTGTAATTTTTCTACTGTTAGGAATTGTAATATAAATATCTGATATGCAGGATGTATTTTCATTCACTGGACCAAATTGGGCACAAATACCTGATACACCAGGTTGTGGCACAGCTGGTTGGAAGTCTGCATTAAAATCAGCTGTATTAAAATCACTACTGACCGATAGGTCATGAGTTCAAAGCCAACCCGGGTCAGAGTGAGCTTCTGGCCATTTGACTAGCTTGCTGTCGACCTTTGCAGCCTGAAGGACAGTTGCATCTGTCAAGTAGGAAATTTAGGTACCGCTTGTGTGGTACCTTAACTAATTTACGATGCCATAAAACTCTCCAGCAGCGTGTAAAAGAATGAGGAAGTACTCCATCAGTGTCACAAGTGGATGGTGAAGCGACAGCTCCCCCAGTGGCTGGAATTCAAAAAACATACCCTCATGAAGCTGGAATGTTAAAAAGCCCCTGTGTTTCTGTCTATATATGTTGTGTGTCTATGGCATTGAGTGTTTGCTATGTATATGTGATTGTGATCCGCCCTGAGTCCCCTGTGGGGTGAGAAGGGCGGAATATAAATGCTGTTAATAAATACACCCAAATTAGAATACGGTGGGGTTGGGGGGGTATTGATTTTGTCATTTGGGGGTTGTAGTTGCATGTAGTTCACCTACAGTCAAAGAGCCCTTTGAGCCCCACCAAGGATGGAATTGAACCAAATTTGGCAAACACAACCCCCATGACCAACAGAAAATACTGGAGGGATTTGGGAGGAATTGACAGTGATTTAGGGGAGATGTAGTTCACCTACATCCAGAGAGCATTGTGAACTCAAACAATGATGGATGCTGCTGGGCCACTCTCAGTCCCACACCACGTGGACGCTTTCTCCCCTGCCTTAAAGGGACTCGCTGGTGCGAGCCTCTCTCCAGCCTTGCATGCTCTCCCTCGCTTGTGCATGCTTACTATGCTGCCATGTACCAAGCACACCTGCTCTCCCCTCCCGCTGGGAGTCTCAGAAACAGCCCTCCCCTTGGCTGAGAGACTGGTCAATCACAGTGGAGGAGGGCTTTTGGTGGGAGGATTCTCCGTCTGTTTCCAAAAAGGAAGAGAAGGACAGGCGGAGAGATCTTCAGCCTTCTCTTATTTATTTACAGTATTTGTATACTGCTTTTCTCACCCCGAGGGGGACTTAAAGTGGGTTCCTAAGACCATCGGAAATATGTGCTTTCTGATGGTCTTTGGCACCCACTCATGACCACATCTGGGGTCCCGACCCCCAGGTTGAGAAACACTGGTGTAAATGCCTAGATTTTGTCATGGGTGATGTCTTATCTATATAAATAAAAATGTAATGTTTGTGTGTGGGATTAACAGAACTCAAAAACCACTGGACGAATTGGCACCAAATTTGGACACAAGACACCTAACAACCAGTGTATGTTCTTCACTCAAAAAAATTGATTTTGTCATTTGGGAATGGTAGTTTCTGGGATTTATAGTTCACCTACAATCAAAGAGCATTCTGAACCCCACCAACAATGGAATTGAACCAAACTTGGCACACAGTTCTCCCATGACCAACAGATCATACTGTAAGGGTTTGGTGGGCAGAGTTGTGGTTCACCTACATTCAGAGATCACTGTGGACTCAAACAATGATGGATCTGGACCAAACTTGGCACGAATACTGAATATTCCCAAATGGGAACACTGGTGGAGTTTGGGGAAAATAAAATCTTGACATTTGGGAGTTGTAGTTTCTGGGATTTATATTTTCTGGGATTTATAGTTCACCTACAATCACAGAGCATTCTAAATCCCACCAACGATAGAATTGGGCCAAACCTCCCATACAGAACCTCCATGTGGGCCACAGCAACGCATGGCAGGGGGTGGCTAGTTTGTGAATAAGATTACACAGTTGACTTTGTGAATCCATTTTTAAAATACTTGCTTGTTAATTGACATCTTTAAGAGTACTTATCCTGACAGATAATATTTCAAAGTAGAGGTCTTTAAATCAGTAGGATACCTCATAATTTTATCATTCCATGTGAATAGTTCTTTTTGTAAGTGTGAACGCGACCTGAAAATTAGAAGACGGTTTTGTCAAGTCAATGTTTAGATCTGCAGTGATACTATTTGTTTACTCTCTCACTTTAAAAGTTTACATTTTCCGTGCAAATGGGTCCCTCCTTCAGGTTTGGTGATCTTTCTCTTGTTTGTTTCTTTCCACTTGCTTTCCCTGGTAGCTGAAACATCAGATAAAATGTCTAATGATCAAGGTAAACAAATGGATGTGCTTTCTATGTCCTTCCTTCTCTTGCAAGTGACATTGTTTTTCTAACAGCCATTAAATGCAAAACAGTGAGCTTTGGTAGAATATGAAAATCTAAAAAGCTGATACTTGCTTTGTGTATAGAGTGTTCGAAATGAAATCTTTCTAAGTCGGCAGCGCAGGGTGCATGGATGGATGCAAATGCATGTTCAGAACGGGTGGGTTCAAATGTACCTGTGTCCAGTTCTGGGCACCGCAGTTGAAGGGAGATGCTGACAAACTGGAATGTCTCCTGAGGCGGGAAACTCAAATGATCAAGGGTCTGGAGAACAAGCCCTATGAGGAGTGGCTTAAAGAGCTGGGCATGTTTAGTCTGAAGAAGAGAAGGCTGAGAAGAGACATGGTGGTCATGTATAAATATATGAGGGGAAGTCAAAGGGAGGAGGGAGCAAGCTTGTTTTCTGCTGCCCTGGAGACTAGGACGCAATGGAGCAATGGCTTCAAATTACAGGAAAGGAGATTCCACCTGAACATTAGGAAGAACTTCCTGATTGTGAGAGCTGTTCAGCAGTGGGACTCCCTGCCCCGGAGTGTGGTGGAGGCTCCATTTTTGGATGCTTTTAAACAGAGACTGGATGGCCATCTGTCGGAGTGCTTTGATTGTGATTTCCCTGCTTCTTGGCAGAATGGGGTTGGACTGGATGGCCCACGAGGTCTCTTATATAGTGTTTGGTTCCTGCCTTTACAGATGTGCAAACCATGTGTTTATGTGTGTGCGTATTGCTACATGAATGTAATTATTGTGGATACAGCTGAACCGACAGTTCTAGGAAACCCCTGCAATCTGTCTGTCTGAACCATGGCGGTTTTCTGTCTGAAAGAATTGTTAAACAATGTGTTTAGAAACTAGTTTTAAAAAGGCAAGCCAGGATTGAATTCTAAACAACCTTTTTGCTTTCCAGCTTTGGGATCTGCTGGAAAAGGAAGCCGGCTTCCAGATGGGGGAACAGATTATAAACCCCCCATGAGTGGTAAGCAAAGTCTTCATTTATACTGGTAACTGAGACGACCCGCAGGTTTCTCTGGAAAAGCTGGTGGATTATAGGAGTCTAGTGCTTAGATCCAGGGAAGTCATGCTACCCCTCTTATTCTGCCTTGGTTAGACCACACCTGGAATACTGTGCCCAATTCTGGGCACTGCAAATGAAGGGAGATGTTGACTCTAAGCTGGAATGTGTCCAGAGAAGGGAACTAAAATGATCAAGGTTCTGGAGAACAAGCCCTATGAGGAGCGGCTTAAAGAGCTGGGCATGTTTAGACTGAAGAAGAGAAGGCTAAGAGGAAACATGATGAGGGTCTTGGATCATGATGTGAGAGGAAGTCCTAGGGAGGAGGGAGCAAGCTTGTTTTCCGCTGTCCTGGAGACTAGGACGCAATGCAACAATGGCATCAAACTACAGGAAAGGAGATTCCATTTGAACATGAGGAAGAACTTCCTGACTGTGAGAGCTGTTCAGCAGTGGAACTCTCTGCCCCGGAGTGTGGTGGAGGCTCCTTCTTTGGAGGCTTTGAAACAGAGGCTGGATGGCCATCTGTTGGGGGTGCTTTGAATGCAATTTTCCTGTTTCTTGGCAGAATGGGGTTGGACTGGATGATGGCCCACCAGGTCTAATCCAACTTGAGTTATTTTTATACTGTGGGAAGCATTTTTAGAAAGATCCCTTAGAAATAATAATAGTAATAATAATAACAACAATAATAATAATAATGATGATGATGATGATGATGACAACGACGACCTCCAAAGTATAGATTGTCGATGTTGCAATCCCAGGTGACAGCAGGATTGCAGAGAAACAACTGGAAAAGCTGACACGATATGAGGATTTAAAGATCGAACTGGCACAAGCCAGTCAAAGTGGTCCCAGTGGTGATTGGGACCTTGGCCTGCACTTAAACACAATCGGCGCTGACAAAATTACCATCTGATGCATTATTTGCCAATACATCACACAGTCCTAGACACTTGGAAGTGTCCAACGTGTGATCCAATACAACAACCAGCAGAGTGTCTGCTGTGGACTCATCTTGTTGTGTTTCTAATAATAACAATAATAATAATAATAATAATAATAATAATAACCTCACTACCTCTGAGGATGCTTGCCATAGATGCAGGCGAAACGTCAGGAGAAAATGCCTCTAGAACATGGCCATATAGTCCGAAAAAACCCACAAGAACCTAGTGATTCCAGCCATGAAAGTCTTCGACAATACATAATAATAATGTGTTTTTCTCAATGCAGTGAAAAGTCCCATTAGTACATGATGCCTTCATGTATAGCATGGCTTTGTGTTCAGTACAAGCAAGTGTTATACTAGGTTTAGCTGCAAGCCAGAAACCCCTTACATTTCTTAACTGGAAAAAGGTCACCTTTTGTAATAAATGCTATTTATTCTCTTAAAGGAAGCAACAGCCCCCATGGAAGCCCTTCTCCTCTGGAGTACAATATGCTTCTGGTCATTATCGTGTCAGTGGGGGTTATCACTATTGTGGTTGTGGTGATTGTGGCTGTGTTCTGCACCCGTCGCACCACATCCCACCAGAAGAAGTAAGTTTGCTTATTTTTCCTCTTTTGGAGTGCGGCTTTTAATTACATCTTTAAATATCTGATTGCATTTGATATGGTTTAAAAAGAACTTTGCATATTTATGGATACACAATGTCTGGTAAAATAAGTAAGAAATGGATGGTGTGCTTTTAATAGTAATTGCAATGTTTTATATGTTTTCATGTGCTTTTATTAAATTTTTTTAACTTAATCTGTCTTGATCTGTTTGTTATTCAAAGGCATTGAATAGTTGCCATATGTAAAGCCACCATGAATCCCCTTCACGGTAGAGAAAGGAGGGATACAAATAGAGTAAATGAATTAATAAACTTTCCCTTCGTCGTTGATGGATAGAACTTAAAAAGAAGAACGTCAGCTGGTAGATCTTATTTATGCAATACAACTTCTATATGTAATGTTCGTTTGTGGGATTAACACAACTCAAAACCCACTGGACGAATTGAAACGAAATTTGGACACAAGACACCTATCAGGCCAACGAGTGACCATCACTCATAAAAACTACTGAAAAACACAGCGGAAGGGACTTAAAAAGCCAAAGAAGCGCATTCACAAAATGACTCCTCTTGACAACAAAACACACCATAGTCTCTTCTGGACTACAGCTCCCAGCATCCCCTAGACCAGGCCCTTTAGGAGAGGAGGATGGTCCAAATGCACTGCTTCCAAGCTGCAAGCTTTCTTCTCTTTGGATTTCTCTGAGAGCATCCGAATCCCTGCATAGTTCCAATTTCCTATTCCTGGACTGCAATCCTCCAGATAGATAGATTAGATGGAGATAGATAAGTAGGTAGATTAATAGTCTGGAGCTGCTGGGAGTTGCAGTCCAAGAATAGGTAGAGAAGGAAGAAAGGGGAGAAAGAGGAAGGGAAAGAAAGGGGGGAAGGGAAGAGGAAGAGAAGGAAGGAGGAAGGAAGGATGGAGAAAGAAGGGAAGAGAAGGGAGGGAGGAAGGAAGGAAGGAAGGAGAGAGAGGAAGAAGAGCAACGTATAGCAGGTACAGCTAGTATTCAATAAAGCAAAGACGGTGTACATAAAGATGCTTGCACAGGGGTTTGGGACCCACCTACCTGTGTGACCGCATTTCTGTATACGAACCCACGCGATCTCTTCGATCATCTGGAGAGGCCCTGCATCGCAAGCACGATTGGTGGGGACGAGAGAAAGGGCCTTTTCGATGGTGGCCCCTCGACTCTGGAACTCACTTCCTAAGGACATCAGGCATGCCCCAACTCTGGCAGTCTTTAGGAGGAGCTTGAAGACGTGGTTGTTCCAGTGTGCCTTCCCAGAATAATGATCCCATAGCACTTTGTCCTCCAAAGCACTTTATATTGTTTTAGGTCTGCTTGTATGTTTCCACAAACCGCCCCATCACTTTTTCGCCCATGTCCAGCATTATTTTTAAATTTTAATTACATTTGGCCTACCCATAGATTTTAAAGTGTGTTGTCCTATTGTTAATGCTTATGTTATTGTTTTATTGTCTTGTTTGATTTTAATTACTTGTATTGTTGTTGTTATTGCTTGTACTGTTGTATTCTGGGCTTGGCCTCATGTAAGCCGCACCGAGTCCCCTGGGGAGATGGTAGCGGGGTATAAATAAAGTTTATTGTTATTATTACTATATCTAGATCACGATAGATAAACAAACAGTGACTTTATTATCTGTCTATGAAAATGTGAATATTTGGGTTTTCTGTGTGTGTTTCCAAAGGAAGCGAGCAGCTTGCAAGTCTGTCAACGGGTCTCACAAATACAAAGGGAATTCCAAGGATGTGAAACCCCCCGATCTTTGGATCCATCATGAGCGGCTTGAACTGAAACCCATTGATAAATCTCCTGATCCCAATCCAGTCATGACCGACACCCCGATCCCGCGAAATTCCCAAGATATTACTCCAGTTGACAATTCCATGGACAGCAATATCCATCAGAGACGGAACTCATACAGAGGTGGGTTTAGGTGACGATCGTGCTGTATTCTAGCCTCTTCATATTATGTAACGTTAAAAAATATGTATGATCCGCTGATTATGGAGCTTTCATTGAGATTTGAAACTTTATAATTTCTTTGTAATTTCCCAGTTCACATCTGCAATGGTTTCTTTTGGATTAATAGTAATTTGCATATACTTCATGACAAAATATAATCCTCACTCATTAATGCACGAAATAGCATTGCTACTGAATAACAATTGAAAATCTGTTGAAAATAAACTTTCCTTGGTGTTGGAAAACTTAGGCAATGACTTCTGACATTGTTTTCAAAACTTAGGCAATGACTTCTGAAGAGGGAGACTACAGTATTCTTAAATATGTTTTTAGTTATTGTTAACCAATGTATTTTTATTTTTAAAAATGATTCATAATTTTTCTGTCTGCTGCTAAGAGGTTTCATGAAGGACAGAGAATAATAATAATCATCATCACCATCATAATCATCATCATCATCATATATTTATTTCTTACCCACCTCTCCTCACAGCTCGAGGCAGGTACAACATGATAAAACAAAACAATATTAAAATATATCTACATACATAATAAAAAGTGAAAATATGTGTATGTGTGTGTGTGGCTGGGGTGTCCATTTACACATACAAGCTCCTGCCTCCATAAACAGCTATAGCTCCCACTATTCAAGAGACACCAAAGGCCCTCCCTCCAATGACATTGCAGGTTATAGTGAGTGCCATGAACATGTGAGCGCCCTGACCATGTCTTCCACAAACACCATACTGCTCTCCACCTAAGTGAAGGATTTCATACGGGGACAATTTCATCCTGGAGTTCATGTGCTTCCTCCATCACAGACATCCCAGTGTTTCTTACTCTCTCCATTGGTGTGGAATTTGCATGACCCTGCCCACTGCCTCTTCCGTAACCCTTTCTTATTCTTTTCTATGGCACACTGCAAACAGAGGAATTGATCAGCAACTGAGCATACTAGGGAGGTTTGGGGAGAAATCACCATGATTTATAGGAGTTGTAAGTCCTGGGATGTATAGTTCATTTACAATGTAAGAGCACCCTGAACTCCACCAATGATGGACCTGAAACTAACTTCTCATACAGAACCCCCACAACCAACAAAAAATAGTGGAGTTATTTATTTATCGTGTCATCGGCAACCAGACCATTGTGTTACATTTCTAACAGAACAAAACAAACAAACAGATAAAAAAACACAAATTTTGCAAACTTGGTAGTTGATTAAATGTCCTTTGACCAGTATCTGGCCACTTGGAGTAGAATAGTAGAATAGTGGAGTGATATTTAGGAGTTGTACTTCCTCCGCATCTAGAGTGCACTATGAACCCAAACAATGATGGATCTGGACCAAACTTGCATGCATTCCCGATATGCCCAGATTTGAATACTGGTGGGTTTTGAGGGGAATTGGCCTGGACATTTTGGAGTTGTAGGTACTGGGATTTATAGTTCACCTGCAATCAATGAGCACTCTGAACTACACCAAAGATGGAATTGGATCAAGCTGGCACATGGATACCCCATGGTCAGCAAAAAATACTTGAGTTGTTTGAGGAAAATTCACCTTGATTTAGGGGAGTTGTAGTTTACCTACATCCATAAAGCACTGTGAACACAGACACAGATGGATCTGGACCCAACTTGGCACACAGACCTGATATACCGAAATTTGATTACTCTAGTGGTTTGTGGGGAACGGACCTTCCTTTCTGGGAGTTGTAGTTTACCCACAACCAGAGGAACTGTGACTTCCACCGATGATGGACCTGGACCATACTAGACACACAGAACCCCCCATGACTAACTCAACCTCTACAGGAGGGGTTTGAAGGGACAGACTCACCATAGTGGGAGTTGTAGTTTACCCTACAGCGAGAGAGCACACTGAACCCCACCAATGAAGCATTTAGAGCAAACTTGCCCAAGATAATAAACTTTTAAATACTAATGGAGTTTCTTGGGGCTAACCTGGCATGATGTTAGTTGTAGTTAATCCACAACCTTAAAAATTGACTTTTTCAAATAACCCAGGCAATGCTGGGTCCCCAAGATAATATAAAAAATATACTCCGGTAAATAAGTATACATAGGTAAAATGCTGATTAAAATTATCAATAAATGCAGAATAATAATAATAGTGATAGTACTTTCTTTTCTTTTTCTAGGACATGAGTCAGAAGACAGCATGTCCACACTTGCAGGAAGGAGGGGAATGAGACCAAAAATGATGATGCCATTTGATTCTCAACCGCCTCAACGTAGGTTTGGCCTTAGATCTTACTACAGAGCCAAATAGTTCTATTTCTGCACCACTTTTGAGTAGTGTGATTCACGTGTTTTAAATCTTCTTTCTGAGATTTATTTATTTATTCGATGCAAGGAAAAATCAGGAAAAAATACCAACTACCTTTTTATTCTACGAACATTCAACAAAGTTATTAATATTCAGATGGTTGCCAATATTTCCATGCCAAGGTAGTATTTTGATAATAAATTAGTAAGAAGGCCTCTCAACAGAAACTGGCCAGATTCAGAAGGAAGAATATGGTCCTTCAGACATCCTGGACCCAAAACATATTAGCTCTTTCCTGCTGCTAATCAGTGAGACAAATGTCCATTTAATAACAGTTTCAAAAGGACAAGTATTTGTGTCTTTCATAATTATGCTATTAAGCTAAATCAATTAAATGATAGTTAATGGCACTTTCCCACAGTGACAGCAAGAAAATGCTGCCACAGCTTCCTTTTAATTATATTATTGTCAGAGATGCTGTAGTCAATCAGCAATATTCGTAATTCCACACCTTTTGTAAAACTGGATTTATGTCTTACTGGGCAACTGACAAAGAGCTATTTCAAAATCCGTGAACAATCATAATTCATTATTCACTGCTAATTTATTTATTTATTTACGAGATTTATATTCCGCCCTTCTCACCCTGAAGGGGACTCAGAGCGGCTTACAAGTAATATGTAAATGCAATATATTATATTATTACCATAGCAATTTCAGTATTATATATTACTATATTGTACTATACCATTATATTGTAATATTATTAGTAATATTACATGTAATAAAAATATTTAATTATAATGTCATATTATAATATTATTATTCATCACTTGTTTTGTTGTTTATATATACTGTATATACTCGAGTATAAGCCGACCCGAATATAAGCCGAGGCACCTAATTTACCACAAAAAACTGGGAAAACGTATTGACTCGAGTATAAGCCGAGGATGGGAAATGCAGCAGCTACTGGTAAATTGCAAAATAAAAATAGATACCAATTAAATTACATTAATTGAGGAATCAGTAGGTTATATATTTCTGAATATTTACAAAAATGGTAATTTAAGATAAGACTGTCCAACTCTGATTAATTGATTATTTACCTTCTTCAATGTAAATGTGCTTAAATATCCTTCCAATAATAATAAAGAGAGTAACATAAATGTAATAACAACAACAATAATAAAAAGAGTAAAATAATGAATGTAGCAATAACAACAATTGTACAGTAAAATAATAAATGTATAATAGAAAAATAATAATAATAATAATAATAATAATAATAATAATAATAATAATAATAATAATAATAATAATAATAACAATAATAATAATAATAACAGAGTAAAATGATAAATAACTTTGACTTGAGTCTAAGCCGTGGAGGGTTTTTTTAGCCTAAAAAAAGTTTCAAAAACTCAGCTTATACTCGAGTATATACAGTATATATATTATATTATATTATATTATATTATATTATATTATATTAATATTTCATTGGAGCCGCTGGTGACGCACTGGGTAAACCCTTGTGCCGGCAGGACTGAAGACCGACAGGTCAGAGATTCAAATCCGGGGAGAGCTCCCCATGCAGGGACATTAGGGAAGCCTCCCACAAGGATGATAAAACATCAAAACATCCTGTCAACGTCCCCTGGGCAACGTCCTTGCAGATAGCCAATTCTCTCACACCAGAAGCGACTTGCAGTTTCCCAAGTGATTCCTGACACGAAAATAAATATTGCCACGTAGGAATGGGGAGATGCTGAGTAACACTTCCATGAAGAATATGTATCATATTTTCATCATACTAAATCAGCATTGTGTTAAAATATTTCATAATTTCACAGTTCTGATAGCATTGTCTTCTTCCCACTCTCATCCTGTGTAGCATTGGATATTGAAATTTCAAGTTTCTTTTCAGCATCGTGTTTTATTCTGCTACTGATTGACTGTTTTGGTATGTTTTTGGAAAGATTTTTGTGGCTCTTCCATTCTGCAGGCATAACATTTAAAGCCATACATCCAGTATTTAAGCGTTAGGTTTGATTCTGGCATCGCACCAGAGCAGGCATAGGCAAACTTGGGCCCTCCAGGTGTTTTGGACTTCAACTCCCAAAATTCCTAACAGCCAGTAGACTGTTAGGAATTGTGGCAGTTTATTTATTTATGTACCACTAACCATCCCCTGCCACACGTTGCTGTGGCCCAGTCTGTGTATATGTGTGTGTGTGTGTGTGTGTGTGTGTATGTGTGTATATATTTGTGTATATATGTGTGTTTGTGTTCAGTTTTTTCATTAACTCCTGCATTTTCCTAACTTTTTTTCTGAAGAGTTGTAATTGGCCAAAATGGAAGATGCTAAACTCTCAAGAGCCGAGAGTTGGTTTCCATTTCCTTCTTTTCTATATCAGATGTGTGTGAGTGCTGAAATTAACTCTACTTCCTTAGGAACGTTTCACTTTGTAGCTGATGCTCTGTAGTAATGTCTAACATTGGAGTTCATATTCAGATTCCATGCATTGTTTAGAAATGACATGAGAACACCTCCTTTTTCTCCTAAGTGTCAAAGAAGAGGACAGAGCCTATAGATAGGTCTTGCTTCCTAGGTTTTATATCCTTGTTATGTCCTGGTAGCACTGCGTCTGTTGTGTAATTAACTGTGCATGGTGTGTGGTGGAAAGGGGCAGGGTGCACTTCATCATGCGTGCCAATTGGTCTCTATGTTAAGCATTCTTTTTCTTTCTGTCTTATATCCATCCACAGCCGTGATTAGTGCTCATCCCATCCATTCCCTTGATAACCCCCACCATCATTTCCACTCCGGCAGCCTCGCTTCTCCAACTTGCAGCTACCTTCATCACCAGGCAAACCCATGGCCTGCAGGCACATCCTCCGTGTCTCATTCAGACAGGGCTAATTCCACAGGTGAGAAGAATAACCCAGGAGCGCACTACTCCTCCTCCTCCTTTGAACAGCAGCCATCTCAAAAATCTTACAGAGCCTAGAATGACCAAGCCAGATCCCACATCTGTGTTTTGTGTGTGGGGAGGGATGGGTTGGTGGTGATTGTGAATTAGGAAATGCATTATGCTTCATTGTGGGGTTTACCCTATATACTCATGTATAAGTCTAGACATTTTAGTACAAAAATCATCAATTCCAAATACTTGGGTCAATTTATTCATGGGTCAGTATGCACCTCTGAGTCCTCCTCCTGTGAGTATGGAGAATGACAAGATACTGCACCTTATCTTTTATTCAGAAAGGAACCATCCCCTTCTCAGAGTAGAATGGCAGAAAGCAAAAGCTTCATCCAGTCGAGAAGAACCTAAAAGAAGCACTGAGAGCTCTCCCAGGCTGAGGCCTTCTCATACTGAGATGTACTAACAAACTGAGGCCCTTCTCCCACAAAGACCTCTCACACACTGAGGTCTGCTAACACTTAGGGCCCCCTCAGACTGACACCTCTCTCACACTGAATGCTTCTCATACTGAGACTACTAACACACTAGGGTTCTTATCCCACAGAAACCTTTCACAGACTGAGGGTGAACTAGAACTGAGGCCTTCTAACACTGAGGGCTCTCCCAGGCTGAGGCCTTTCTCCCACTGAGGTGAACTAACACTGAGGCCTTCTCATACTGAGATGTACTAACAATCCGAGGCCCTTCTCCTACAGAGACCTCTCACAGGCTGAGGGTGAACTAGAACTGAGGCCTTCTCACACCGAGGCCTCTCACACACTGAGGTCTGCAAACACTGGGGACTCCCTCGGACTGACACCTCTCACACTGAATCCTTCTCATACTGAGGCCTATTAACACACTAGGGCTCTTCTCCCACAGAGACCTTTCACAGACTGAGGGTGAACTAGAACTGAGGCCTTCTCACACTGAGGCCTCTCACACACTGAGGTCTGCAAACACTGAGGGCTCCTTCGGACTGACAACTCTCTCACACTGAATCCTTCTCATACTGAGGCCTATTAACACACTAGGGCTCTTCTCCCCCAGAGACCTCTCACAGACTGAGGGTGAACTAGCACTGAGGCCTTCTCACAGTGCTGCGGATCTTATAAAAATTCATAATTCTGGCCCCTAAACCTACTATAGGTTTATAGAATCATAGAATTGGAAGAGACCCCAGGAAATAAAGCACCCTGATGGCCATCCAGATGCTATTTAAAAGCCTCCAAAGAAGGAGTTTCCACCACACTCTGGAGCAGTGAGTTCCACTGCTGAGTGGCTGTTACAGTCAGGAAGTTCTTCCCAATGTTCAGGAGGAATCTCCTTTCCTGTCATTTGAACCCATTGCCCTAAGACCTACTGTCCAGGGCAAACATGAGTATATATGGTATTTTCAAGTAACCATTCGTAAGATGGAGCCATTAGCCATGCAATGACTGTTCTAGGTGTGTTTGATTTTTAATTTTTTTAAATCTTGCAACCTTTTTTTTAAAGTCCTGGTTACATGTGTAATTGTAGTAACTGCTCTGGAGCTCTAGCAGTCGAGGAATCATTTCAGTGACGAGAACACGGAAATCGCATACACTTCCCCTTCCCAGGCATATATTTTACAAATGAATAATGTCCCCCTTCATATTGGGAATCAACCCAGTCAGTCGTGTGCTGCTTGCGCTTTTCAGAAGAAAGGATAACAGTAATGCCCACTTTAATAGCATGTTTTATGATTCATGCCCGTTAAAGGGCCTGCCTGTCTTCTCCATATAATCCGCAGATGGGGTTTAATCAAGCACAGTTTGAATATTATTACAGTACCAATACCGTGTGTTTAAACAGCAGGAGGGTAGAAAAGTGAGCATTTTCTGTTTTAAGAATCCAGATTCCGTTTGCCTTCTTCAAGGCGCTCTTGATCGCTGCTCCTCAAGTGGTCCTCCCAACGCTTAAGAGCTTCAGGCAACGTAAAATATGTCTTGTTGTCAGTGCTTTGGGGGGAGTCCCCCGGTGGCGCAGTGGGTTAAACCCTTGTGCCGGCAGGACTGAAGACCGACAGGTTGCAGACCGTGGATGAGCTCCCTCTGTCAGCTCCAACTCCCCATGCAGAAACATGAGAGAAGCCTCCCACAAGGATGGTAAAACATCACAACATCAGGGCAACGTCCCCTGGGCAACGTCCTTGCAGACGGCCAATTCTCTCACACCAGAAGCGACTTGCAGTTTCCCAATTATTAGTATTATATTGTATTACATTATAATATTATCAATACTGTATGTATATACAATATATTATATTATATTAATATTTCATTGGAGCCACCGGTGGCGCAGTGGGTAAATCCTTGTGCCTGCAGGACTGAAGACCGACAGGTCGGAGGTTTCAAAAGGACAGGTAGTTGTGCTTTTCATAATTATGCCATTAAGCTAGTTCAATTAAATGATAGGCAATGGCACTTGTGACAGCAAGAAAATGCTTCCACCTGCCACAACTTCCTTTTAATTATATTATTGTCAGAGATGCTGTAGTCAATCAGCAATATTCGTAATTCCACACCTTTTGTAAAACTGGATTTATGTCTTACTGAGCAACTGGCAAAGAGCTATTTCAAAAGTTGTGAAAAATCATAATTCATATTTACTGCTAATTTATTTATTTATTTATTTATTTACAACATTTATCTGCCGCCCTTCTCACCCTGAAGGGGACTCAGAGCGGCTTGCAAGTAATATGTAAATGCAATATATTATATTATTACCGTAGCACAATATTAGTATTAGATATTACTATATTGCACTATACCATTATGTTGTAATATTATTAGTAATATTACATGTAATATAAATTATATAATTATAATATCACATTATTAGTATTATGTTTTAAACTTTTATATCCCGATCTTCTCACCTCCGTAGAGGGACTCAGACTTACATTATAATATTATCAATATTGTATGTATATACAATATATTATATTATATTAATATTTCATTGGAGCCACCGGTGGCACAGTGGGTAAACCCTTGTGCCGGCAGGACTGAAGACCGACAGGTTGGAGGTTCAAATCCGGGGAGAGCTCCCCATGCAGGGACATGAGGGAAGCCTCCCACAAGAATGGCAAAACATCACAACATCCGGGCAACGTCCCCTGGGCAATGTCCTTGCAGACGGCCAATTCTCTCACACCAGAAGGGACTTGCAGTTTCTCAAGTCACTCCTGGAAATAACTTGAGAATCTATATTTAAAGAAACTTCCAACAGCAAAATAAATTCTAGGAGCTCTGTTGCATTCTAATAACTGCTTTGGATACATGATAGCTGTAAACAAAAGATTGCCCCAGAATGTTACTTTTGTGAATGGCCAAATTTTCAAGACATCTCATCTCTCTTGTATCTCTGAATTGCTAAAATGATCATGAGCAGCATAATGAATCAAGTGAATGGCTCTTTTTGCAGTCTGGCTGGGCTTCTCCAGAGCACTGGTATAGCAACAAGCAAGATGCCAATATTGTGGCGTAATGTAAAATAAACCACATGTAGTTCATGTCTGATCAACCCTCCCACTGCCTTGCCAGAGAAAGAAAATATGCCACAGAGATGAACGATAAAGAACAAGTAGTTTACTCTTCGTAGTTCAGAACAACATGTGGACAAGGTGATAAGTTGCACCAACTCACATAATATCTTTTTATGAGAGGTTTAGGAGCCCCCAATAGCACAGTGGGTTAAACCCTTGTGTCGGCAGGACTTGAAGGTTGGGTTGCTGACCTGGAGGTTGCCGGTTCGAATCCAACCTGGGGAGAGCACGGATGACTTCCCTCTGTCAGCTCTAGCTCCATGTGAGGACATGAGAGAAGCCTCCCACAAGGATGGTAAAAACATCAAAAAACATCCAGGCGTACCCTGGGCAACGCCCTTGCAGACAGCCAGTTCTCTCACACCAGAAGCGACTTGCAGTTTCTCAAGTCACTCCTGATACACACACACACACACACACACAAAACTGAGAGGTTTAAAATGGTCTTTGTCCATGTGGATAAACTCTTTCAGCAGCTCATGAAGCAAGAACACACTCCAAACTCTGCCTCTCTCTGCTTCTCTCCTCTTCTCTCTGCACTTGCATAGCTCATCCTCGAACAAAAATGTAACAGTATCCAAAAGTCCCAGGCTCATCCTGCTCCCTGGACATTTCCTGACCAATCAGCTTCATTCATCTGATTTTACAGTTGGGATACACACGCAAATTGATTCCTTGCATGCTCCAACAAATATATTGCTATATTCTTTGTAATTATTGGACAGCATTTGGTGTTTATCGTAACTGGGCTGCATCGGATTCAGGGGATGGTGGTCTCGTTTCTTTCCTTATGGATGTTCATAACTCATTGTCTTTTATCTATTCAGAGGGGCTTTGTGATGAGGATAATACTAATTCCTTGTTTCATTAGAGAAATAATAGTTTCTTCTTGCAGCATTGAGTTAAAAGTAAACTCTGATTCCAGAATGCTCATTATATATGTTCCCTAAGAGATATATATCAGAATTCAGAGAGTTGGAAGGAATATAATACTTAGAACACATCCTTTTCTCCCTTCTCTGGATGTGAGAAAGTCAGGCTGCTGTGGGAGGCAGACTGCATTGGCTATTACAGAACATTGGATGAGCGAAGGTTGGATGAGTGAGACTCTACTGTATTTACAGTGGACTTCACAGAGGATGCTTCAGAAAAAGGAAAACCAGCCTGTTTTGCAAGCCTTGCCAATGCTGATTTGTTATCCATCAATGTTTGATTTGTATACCTACTTTACATACCTAGGTCACATAAAAATTTCTTGGGCCGAAAGGGTGGAAAAGTTTATGAAGTGTTGCTCTGGGATATGAATTAGATTAGACAAGCCCTTGGATTACTCGTTGAAGAGCATAAATTCTAACTTACTGCAGAGAGGAAGTTTACCTAATTTCAGTTTTAAAAAATTTCCCAAAGGATACTCAGGCATTCTGGTTTCAATGATTTTGTTGAAGGAAAACAAGGTGTCTGTTTCCTTTTCCGGCCCAGAATCCATTCGGAATACTCCCAGCACAGACACCATGCCGGCTTCCTCCTCCCAGACGTGTTGCGCTGAGCACCCGGAGCCAGAGAGTGCAGCAGGACCCTATCTGCCTGGGACTCAGGAAGAAGAGGCAGGCCCCAACCTCCCCACGGCCCACGTCCGCCCCTCTCACCCCCTGAAGAGCTTCGCGGTGCCAGCCGTCCCTCCCTCCGGGGCCACCTACGACCCTGCCTTGCCAAGCACACCTTTACTATCCCAACAGGGTGAGTACCAAGGATGCAGTTGTCAAGAAACATGAGTCATTTGTGGAGAGAAGAGGGAGATATGGGCAGCAGGGGTCTGCCACTTCTTTGAAACACAAGTGTAATAATATTTCAGAGATTGAGAGCCTGAACTAAAGCCTTGTGATGCTTTTGTCCCAATTTGAAAGGTCCTTTGTCAAAGGGGTGAGTTGAGATTCTTTGGTGAGAGCAATCGCCTAGAAGTCAAAACTAACAAAATGAAGTTCAACAGGGACAAATGCAAGATACTCCACTTAGGCAGAAAAAACGAAATGCAAAGATACAGAATGGGAGACAATGCCTGGCTTGAGAGCAGTACGTGTGAAAAAGATCTTGGAGTCCTCGTGGACAACAAGTTAAACATGAGCCAACAATGTGATGTGGCGGCAAAAAAAGCCAATGGGATTTTGGCCTGCATCAATAGGAGCATAGTGTCTAGATCTAGGGAGTAATGCTACCCCTCTATTCTGCTTTGGTTAGACCCCACCTGGAATATTGTGTCCAATTCTGGGCACCACAATTCAAGAGAGATATTGACAAGCTGGAATGTGTCCAGAGGGGAGACTAAAATGATCAAGGTCTGGAGAACAAGCCCTATGAGGAGTGGCTTAAGGAGCTGGGCATGTTTAGCCTGAAGAAGAGAAGGATGAGAGGAGGCATGATGAGAGCCATGTATAAATATGTGAGAGGAAGCCACAGGGAGGAGGGAGCAAGCTTGTTTTCTGCTTCCTTGGAGACTAGGACGCAATGGAACAATGGCTTCAAACTACAAGAGAGGAGATTCCATCTGAACATGAGGAAGAACTTCCTGACTGTGAGAGCCGTTCAGCAGTGGAACTCTCTGCCCTGGAGTGTGGTGGAGGCTCCTTCTTTGGAAGATTTGAAACAGAGGCTGGATGGCCATCTGTCAGGGGTGATTTGAATGCAATATTCCTGCTTCTTGGCAGAATGGGGTTGGACTGGATGGCCCATGAGGTCTCTTCCAACTCTTTGATTCTATGATTCTAAGTCCCTTCATAAGGAAAGAAAGACAAGGAGAGATAGTAAGAGAAACAGAAAAAAGGAAGGGTATGGGATGAAGGTAGAACAAGTCTAGGCAAACTTGGGCCCTCCAGGTGTTTTGGACTTCAACTCCCACAATTTCTAACAGCTTCAGGGCCTAAGCGGCTGAGGGGAGTAAGGAAAGGGCCTGAGGCTGTTAGGAATGGTGGGAGTTGAAGTCCAAAACACTTGGAGGGCCGAAGCTTGTCCATGTCTGAGATAGAAAGAGAGCAAAATGAGAATTTTACCCAGTGGTGGCATATACCCCATAAATATTATTTCAAGGTCATACTGCAAAATTATTAACGGAGTCTGGACTATCCAAAGAGGTCGTACCTGTACTCTTATTAGCTGCACAGAATTCCAGTCTGTCTACAACTCCAATGCTATTTTGACCTTTTCAAACCTTAATTCAGAGTTTCTCAAGTAGGATTCCCTGGAGCCTTATTGCTCTACAGGCCATTGCTGGGAATTTGATGCAAAATAGTGTTTAAAAATGTTTTTAAAACCATGCAGGGATTTCTGTGCAGGGACATTGAAGAGCTGAGAATTGTTTCAAGGGTCTCCCCATGGTAAAAGAGTTGAGCAAGTCTGTCTTGAGTGGTTGAAGACCATACAGGTGGCTTTGGCTTCTGAATATTTGATTATTTGCCATTTCATTAATATATTCTAGGAATCTCTCGGTCTCCATAGCGATGGGTTAAGTCTAAGATCTTGCTGAAATTTGACTGTTTTCTTACTCGGACAATAAACAGCAGCCTTACTAAACCTATATGTGGAGGTGCATCCTGTCAGAAATATTAAAAATTAACTAGGTATTTTTAATTACAAAAATGTGAGTCAAGCACTGAAAGGATTAAATGGATGCAGTGACTCAGCAAAAGCTGCAACATACCCAGGTGTGCCTATAGCTTAATAGCCCTCAATCTGTGAGAGGTCTCTGGGAGAAGGGCCTCCATTTGTTAGTAGGCTGCAGTATGATAAGGCCTCAGTGTGAGAGACGCGTCAGTCTGAGAGAGCCCTCAGTGTGAGGTAGGCCTCGGAGTTAGTAGACCTCAGTGTGTGAGAAGCTTGGTGTGAGAAGACCAGTGAGAGAAGCCCCAGGTTGAAGGCCTCGTGTTTAAATCTCTAGTGTGAAGACTGCTGTGTGTAAAATGTAAGAGGCATCAGTCTGAGAGAGCCCTCAGTGTGAGGTAGGCCTCAGAGTTAGTAGACCCCAGTGTGTGAGAGGCTTGGTGTGAGAAGACCAGTGAGAGAAGCACCAGGTTGAAGGCGTCGTGTTTAAAGCTCCAGTGTGAAGACTGCTATGTGTAAAAGCTCCTGTGTGTGTTTAGTGTGAGAAGAGGCTCTGTGAGAGTGAAGCTTTTTATCTGCATGAGTAAGAAGTCCAGTGTGGAAGCAAAGAAGGACGTATAAAGAACTTCATTTGTATTATGGAAACCTTGTTCTTGTAAATAGTGCAACCATAATATTTTGCTATAAAGAGAAGCCTCCTTTGGAAGAGATCACATTGGTCTATTTGTTTTTTGTTCAATGTATCCCTTTTGGCTACTGGCGCTGGATCACGCTGCTGCTAATGAGTTACTCTGCTGTCCATTTATGAGGAGGGTCTTTTGTTAATAAGCCCACTCACCCAACAGTTCCTGCAAGTTACTAATCCAGGACATAATTTATGTTCAGCTTCCAGCCATCCAGTCCATTCAGTAAAGACGGCATCCATTGGCACTCTAGGCAGAACTCGGCCTCCGATGCCAGTTGTCGTCCCAAGCGCTCCTGAAGTCCAGGAAACGACCAGGATGCTCGAAGACACAGAAAGTGTAAGTATACCTGTACAGAGCAGCCTCACATTACTACGTCACAGTGAAAGCTTTCGCTATAAATTAGAGTAACATTCAACATAGTTCAAATGGAACTTAGTTTTGATAAGTATACGTTAGTGGTGTAATTTTTAGAAGAAACCAAAAAGTCATTGTCCTGGGTACAAAAAAGTTGATGATTGTTATTTTTTTTTCTCTTTCCTTTCTTCTTGTGCTTCCTCACCTTGTCATCCTGTTTTGTCTTGTTAATTTACCACTTCCTGTTTGTCTGGGGTTTGTTTTCATGCCGGACGCTGCTCCCACCCGCCTCTTTCTCCTCTCATTGCTTTAGCAAAGGGAAAACTGAGTGGGGACATCTCAGTTTGCGTAGTAACACAGTCCATCCATACGATCCATGTGGCTTTGCTGCCATGACCAATATCCGAGTGTATTGGACATGGGATCCCTTTCTCCCCCGACCCTTCCCTCCCCTTCCCTCCCAAAACAATGCGGCTCATCTTGTCCAGTAACCCTGTTAAATCTCCTGCAGAATTACGAGCCGGATGAGCTGACCAAAGAGATGGCCCACCTGGAAGGACTCATGAAGGACCTTAATGCGATCACGACCGCATGACCGCCTTCCCCCGGGAAAGGACCCCAGACCCCGTTTCGTGGGTCTCGAGACTTAGCCTTGGAAAGCAAGGACGTGTACAGAGACTTAGGGGGGCAGCACAAGAAGGACACCCAACCAGCCGCCGTTATCAGTGCCAGCGCTGGCGAACTAAGTGGCTTTTTCTCTCCGTTGCCCCAAAATGACCCCGTTGGGAAATGGGATCCTGCTAAGAGATGGGGGGCAATGGCTCAGGCTGATGAGACCCAGCATCCAGACAAAGAAGTGGACTTAGCATTAATTTGAGTCAGGTTTTGTCTCCGTGCTGTGACCTGCCCTGGTTTTTTCAGTGTTGGACATTCGCCTTTATGTACAATTTTTTCCTGTTTGAGTGTTTTTATTTTATTGTATCTTTTTTTATTAAAACATGTAATCTGATAAAAAGAAGCCCACCCCAATTTGTGTTGTTTCCCCCACAGCCTAGACCGATGTTTGATTGCTTGTTTTATTGTATGCGGGAATTCATTGCCAGCGTGGGTTGTTCCGGTTTTTGTTTGTTGGTTTGTCTGTATAGCTGCATCACTTTCCAGCAGTTTAATCCACGGCCTTGGGGGATGCTGCACCATCACTCTTTGTAAGCTTTTTATTTCTTATTTTTATATTATAATAATTATAAGAATTATGAAAAAGCCTCACTGTGAGATCAGATACCAGGATTGAAAATGTAACACTAAGATTATTGGATATTTTTGCTTTTTGGCTTTTTTGTGGGGTGGGGTTAGGGATAGGCCGCCTAACGGAAGGATGTTTCATTGTTTCTCTGGAAAAAATTATTCATATCGATCATTCTAACCATTTCCTAGTATGTACCCAAATGGGCAAATGTAATCCAGTAGAGTCTCACTTGTCCAACCTTCACTTATCCGACATTTTGTCTTATCTGATACTCTTATCCAGTGCCCCCCTTCTCCTCTAGCTTACATACTTAGGCGATCCCTTGTTGTCCGAGTTGGATTGTCTTCCAAGTTCAGTGTCCTGGTGGTGGGTCCGTAGGTGATTGTGGAGCCCTATTCATGATCTGCACGTTCTCTCACAGTGAGGACATTGGTTTCTAGACAGAAGGTGGTCCCGGTCTGGGTTGGCTTGATGCGCCTTCCTCTTGGCACGTTTCTTTCTTCCTCCATTCGTGCCTTTTCAAATTCTGCAGCACTGCTGGTCACAGCTGACCTCCAGCTGGAGCACTCACAGGCCAGGGCTTCCCAGTTCTCAGTGTCTATGCCAGAGTTTTTAAGGTTGGCTTTGAGCCCATCTTTAAATCTCTTTTCCTGCCCACCAACATTCCGTTTTCTGTTCTTGAATTTGGAGTAGAGCAACTGTTTTGGGAGATGGTGGTCGGGCATCCAGGCAATGTGGTCGGTACAGCGGACTTGATGGCGGAGGACCATCACTTCAATGCTGGTGGTCTTTGCTTCTTCCAGAACACTGACATTTTCCGCTTGTCTTCCCAAGAGATTTGCAGGATTTTCCGGAGGCAAAGCTGATGGAATCATTCTAGGAATTGCATGTGACGTCTGTAGATAGTCCACGTCTCGCAGGCGTATAGCAGGGTTGGGAGGACAATAGCTTTATAAACAAGCACCTTGGTCTCCCAATGGATGTCCTCAAACATTCTCTGCTTTTCCTTTTCCTCTAGCATTTCCCCTTAAAGTAAAGCAGCCCTCCCCAACTCTCTCTCCATTCCCAATAAGTGAAAAAGGCAAGACGAGAAGGAGGAAAGGGGGAAAAGAGACAGAACTGGAAACGGGAGTGTCCTTCCTCCTTCCCTCTGATTTCCACAGTCCTCTTCTGCATCTGGGCACTTAATGCTGGGCCGCTCCAAGGCGTTGCCTTGCCTTAACCCTTTGAGTCCCTGTTGTTATTATTCTGCGTGTTTAGCACCCCATCGGATGGGTAACAATAGGAGACTCCGTATTATCCAACATTTTCGTTTACCCAACATTCTGCCGGTTATGTGGTTATGTGGGATAAGCAAGACTCTACTTTATTACTAAGTCAGGGCCGTAGCCAATTGGGGAGGAGGGTTGAAGATTCTACCCCCCAAAGGGTTCTAACCCCCTCCCCAAAATCTGGTTTATTCAAGAATTTTAACTGGTTAACCAAGTTATGAGTAAACTAGGTTTCTTTTTTAACCTGACACATTTCAGGGCAGGGTTGAACTCTTAACCCTCTCCCCCCCCCCCCGGGGGGGCTGGCTACAGTCCTGTAAGTAGTGTTTTAAACAAATCTTCTATGTAAGTGATTGAAAAAGTATCTCAGAAATATCCACTGAAATTGCCCAGTTTGTACATTACCTCTGTTCATATGAGCAAATGTAGACAAACAACAAAAAAGTTTTATGTGAATCAACCCGTGAAATAGATCAAAGACTTGGTGAATTGCTCTTTCTTGACCATTTGCTTTGTGAGCTAGTCTTTCGGGGTTACTAAATCACCGGGAGTATTTCCTTGAGAAATACCCTCCTTTTATAAGGGAAGGTCCTACAGGATCAGATGCCACAAGTGTCTCTTAGTGGCAGAGCTTTCAATTTATTTGAAAAAGTTCGCTTTTTTAAATTGACGCTTCTTCACATGGTGCATTTTAGTCTTTTGATCTGTAATGGTCAATGATTGTGGGCAACCTTTCTCTTGCAGCTATATATCATCTCAAAGGTTTGAGAAAACTACCTTCAAGTGCTGATTCCCATTTGGAAGACTTTGTAGACTTACCGTATATACTCGAGTATAAGCCGAGTTTTCCAGGCCTTTTTTTAAGACTGGAAAGTCCCCCTCGGCTTATACTCAAGTGAGAGCTGTGGGAGTTGAAGTTCAAAACCCCAAGTCTGCCCATGCCAGTGCCAACATCTTCCTGTTCTTGCCATGCCCGTACCTCTTGCCGGCCTCTTCTCTTTGTGTGAAGAGAAAAGGGAGATGAGAGGTGTGCGCCCGCCAGCGACAACAGCTTCCCGTTTTCACCCCGCGTGCACCTCTCACCTCTCTCTTCTCTTTGCACAAAGAGAAGAGGGAGGCAAGAGGTACATGCGTGGCAAGAACAGGAAGCTGGTGCCGCTGGCACACGAGCCCTTCCCATTACTGAAGAGTCAAAGGCTGTGGTTGCAAGGGCCATGGCTGTTACTCGTTGGCATGGGCAAACTTGGACCCTCCAGAAACTCCCACAACTCGCTCTAGGTTAGAGCAGACATGCTCAAACTTTTGACCCTCCAGGGGTTTGTGAACTGCTCCTATTTCCCCCCCATTATTTCCCCCCATTTGCATGTATATTGTATATCTTATGCTCAGTTGTAATACAGTTTGTTTTGTTATCACCAATATTTGCTGCATTTCCCACCCTCAGCTTATACTCGAGTCAATAATTTTTTCCAGATTTTTTTAATGGTAAAATTAGGTGCCTCGGCTTAAACTCGAGTATATACGGTATTCTAAAAACATATCAAGATGGAAGAGTAAAATGTTTGTGACTTAAATGCTGCACCAGCCAGAGAAAGAGAAGGAAGTGAAAGGGGAAAAAATGATAAACATTTCCTGTTTTGGGTTGTTGTAGGTTTTTCAGGCTATATGGCCATGTTCTAGAAGCATTCTCTCCTGATGTTTCGCCTGCATCTATGGCAAGCATCCTCAGAGGTTGTGAGGTCATCACTACCTCTGAGGATGCTTGCCATAGATGCAGGTGAAACGTCATAGAATCATAGAATCAAAGAGTTGGAAGAGACCTCATGGGCCATCCAGTCCAACCCCCTGCCAAGAAGCAGGAATATTGCATTCAAATCACCCCTGACAGATGGCCATCCAGCCTCTGTTTAAAAGGAGAGAATGCTTCTAGAACATGGCCATATAGCCTGAAAAACCTACAACAACCCAGTGATTCCAGCCATAACAGCCTTCGACAACACATTTCCTGTCTTCCACCTTCTGGGATGGTGACTTAGCCAGAGAGAAGAAACCAGTTGTAGTTGGGTTGTTTTCAAGCTTATTTTGTAATCCACTTGCCTAAATAAAAGGATTGTGGGATGATAGAGGAAGGCGGAGATCTTCAGGTAGCTTTTGGTGGCAAATTCATTTCAAGCAGGTTTATATATCAATCTTCTATATTGACGTATCAGCTCAGAGCATTGGACTCTGGATAGAACCGGTGCCAGATGTTTTTCTGACCCTTTTGTTACAACTTTGTATAACGACATTTCCAAAACCTACCCTCTTGTTTACTTATTACAAAGCAGTATTGAGGAGGAATGGCTTTCAAAGAAGTTCTAGTTAGTGGGAATAGAAATCCGTAACTCTTGCCTTTCTGTTTCTGCACAGTGCTTTTTCCTTCTAAACAGTCTGAGATCTACATTTGCTTTTGGCCTTGAGTGAGTGCTATTTCAAAAAGAAATGCAAACTATGTAATAAAGCATTGCTGACATTTCCTTTGGGATGCTGAAACTGACCCTCTGTTGAAGGATTCATTCTGTAGCACGTTATGCTGGATCTGATCAATAAGCCATCGATTTTAAAATACTGTGTCGATTTTTACAATGATATTGAAAGTGCCATGAAATTCGTCCTTCTAGCTCCATGTTCTGTCTTCCAAGGGCAACCATCATAATGCCTTGTAGATTTCGAAGTGTAGCATTAAGGCATTAACTCTTTTCTCACCATAATCCTTAATTCTAGGAGATTAACTGGATGCTTCCTTACAGTTGGGACAGAAAAAGTCCAGTGTCTGAGCGAACTGGCACAAATGGGAAAATAGAAATGTGACCAAACTAAGTGGGGATGATTCAATCTCTGTCTTGGATCCAGTTATGCGTTGGGTGAATATGTGATGGAGTTGTGGGTTGGCAGCATATTTATGGATGCAAATACAGTAGAGTCTTGCTTATCCAACCTATCCAATCTTCGAATCCGGGCAGAGTGTGGATGAGCTCCCTCTGTCAGCTCCAGCTCCCCATGCTTGGTCATGGGAGAAGCCTCCCACAAAGATGGTAAAACATCAAAACATCTGGGCAATGTCCCCTGGGCAACGTCCTTGCAGATGACCAATTCTCTCACGCCAGAAGTGACTTGCAGTTTCTCAAGACACAAAAAAAAACCCTGACCTTTTGGTTTATCCAACATTCTGACGGCCCCCATTTATGTCGGATAAGCGAGACTCTACTGTAAGGGACCAGGATGCACTCCTCATAGATCAGGAATACTGGGGACATTTTCAACATTTTTTTGAATTCTTAAAAACCATTAAGATGCAAAATATTGTAATTTGGTTTGCTGGAGTTGAGCTTGAAGTATGATCCAAGACCCTATACAACAGGCATGGGCAAACTTTAGTCCTCTAGGTGTTTTGTACTCCAACTCCCACCATTCCTAACAGCCTCAGGCCCTTTCCTTTTCCCCCTCAGCTGCTTAAGCAGT